CTAATGGTATCGGAAAATTAGTGCAATATCCAACTTTGTTGTCGCTCTATGTAGCCGCTAATATTTGAAAAATTTTTCTATTAAGTCTCAGTTTAACCCCTTTGTTAGAACTTTATAAGTGACTATTAGTAGAGAATTAGATCTCTCCCTAAGAGTCACATTGATCCCTTATTGATTGCAAGAAAGATTATTATAAACCCCTCTATAGATAAGCACATCTAAGTTCTTATGAGGAAAAAGTAAAAGGCTTCTTTTTAGGGTTTTCTCGGTTTCCTTGGTTCGTTCTTCATTCTTGGTCTGGTTCCCGATTCTCGGTTTGGTTCCCTCGGAAACCGGACAGGGGCGCATTGGAACCTAGAACCCGGGAATCGAACAGGGGCGCATTGGAACCTAGAACCCTATGATGTATTCTTGAGCTTTAGAGGCTACAACAATCTCATAAATGAACAAACTGTACCAATGTTTGTGTTCAGGGATGATAACAACCTCCCTGTTGGTGAAGGGTTTGGTTCACATATCCTTGATGCGATCGCATGGTCTAATGTTTTTCGGAAAATAAATGGAACTTAAGATTTCATCCATGTTACCTAGCTGGAAGATATAACAAGAGCCAAGACTTACACCACAATAAAAGACCGAGACAAATAATTTGTGAATAGTAAGGCAGTTTTTCTTGTTTCAGCCAAACAAAATCTATTAGTTGTCCTTGGCCTAGACCGATATAAAATGAAAGTGCGACAAAATTTCATTATGATCGGCCAACGAAAACAAGTAAACCCCATTTGTGGTCCTTTCGAATTCATTAATAACTCTTCCCGTGGCTATCGTTGAGAAGTCAATGGTTGTCCACCAATAAAACATTTTCAAGACGCAAATCCTTTAATGATGGACAGTAAATTGCATTTCACCCATTAACAAAATCATTGCTTTTTTTTCCATTTGATACAACATAAGCCATGTATCAAGGAATTATAATGACAACATTTGGGCGACTTCCCAGGCTAGTCATAATGTTAAAGAACCTCAAAGCCTCTGCCACTGGTCTTTCTGTGCAATGACCGTGGTGTATAAGGCAACATCTAGCTCCCAGCCTGTCTTCCATATGCTTTAGCAATCGAATACCTACCCTAGCGTTACCAATTCTGCACAATCCCTTCACTATTTCTTCCATATGCTGAGACTAAAAACGTTGGAAGTAGCTCCCTTTGAATTCATCCGATCGATCATGTCAATGGCCGTGGCGCAATGCTTCTTCATCTTCTCCACAACTCCCAAGAGTTGTGTGAAACATGGAGTTGAAGGCAAAGGGTTCATCCTAATCATTCTCTTCAAGTAGAATAAAGCCGTAGCAATAGTTGGAAATCTTGGTGTATGCTCATTACTAAAGACGGATTCGGTGATCGGCTGCCAATTTTGATTTGAAGAAGTCCCAGATCTGCTCTTTAGGCGTGAGATCCCTAATCTTGTTTTGATGATTCATTTTGTTATCTGGAGTTTGTTTTATTTTGAAGTTGTCTGGGATTTGTCTTGTTGTTTCTCTTTTGTACTTTTGTGGAAATGAATGAAATGTTATTTTGACAAAAAAAAGCAGACTATTTCACAGCCATCGTCATCATGTCGTGGGGACAAGAACTACCTTCATAATTTCTGCAAACTCTAATCAGCAATAAAAATGGGCAACAAAGTGATGATTCATGTATCATAGAGCGAAATGAGACGGTCCAAGCACTTGTTGGCGGACTGCTCATCGAAGCCGAATTCGAGAGCCAAGCTTAGTAACTGAGCTTTCTCTATCTCCAAGCCCTGCTCATGGAATTTCAACCTGTTCGAGCAATTCGGAGGATTGATGATGCACAAGTTGGAATCGAATTGATCAATAGAGCACACTCGAAATGCTCTTGTTCTAATACCTTCCCAGTAATGGCGGGATTGATGTTTTTCCTTTTCCTTTTTATATGGCGGAGAATGGAGAGATTGGAGCCAATTTTTTTTAAAAATTTTTCTGACAATTCCATTTTCGCACCTGAAGTTTGTTTTAAGTTCTATTTTGCCCCCCTCATTAGTTTTTTGGTTTAATTTGACCCCCCTTGGGTTTGTTTGGGAGGAGGCTTTTCTTTTACTTAGTTCTTTTCTGGGGTTGAGCCATTCTTGACGTTGCAGGAATATGTGTGAAGGCTCCTTCGCTACCACAGGACTTGCATGTCGTACTGAAGTTATAAATCTACGAGACGTATGTCAGATTTCTTTTCTGTTGCTGTGTTTAAGCAAAACAAAAGTAAATTTTTTTTAATTGACATTTTTATGTTTATATATTAATATATATTTTTTAACGAGTAGGGAAATGAATGGCGTGTCACTCAATCACTGGTCAAAGCAATAGACAAGTGAAGAAAAAGCTCATGTAGTTGTCACGCCACATACAGTGGCTCCACGTGGCAGGGTGTACCACACTTGAGCGTCAGGCCAACTAAGAAGGAGCCACGTGAAAGCAAATGGAAAAAATCATTAATATTTTCTCTTTTTCAATTAACATGAATTGCATATACATATGGTTCAGACTCATTAAAATATATATCGAATAATTTTTTTACTTTAAATTCATAACAATCTACTTTTAAAATTTTAGCTAATCCATATATGATTCAGGTCACTAAATGAGTTAAAAAGTAGATTTTTTTATCATTTTTCAACGTCTATAGCGGTGAGAGGCTGTCATTTCAACGGAAAGGGAAAGCACAATGTTGTCCATCTTCACTTTGATTTGCACGGCCGTGTGATCCCATTACAAAGAGAACTAACAAAAGGTGAGAGTTAGTTGGTTAAAGAAGTAAATTTCCTCATCAAAGACGCGCAAGTCCACAGTAGGATTGTGTGTACCCAAGCACAACTGGCTCATCTTTTGAGGCAAGAGAAGAAGGGTCTGTTTGGTAACTTACCAAATAGTAAAAATTTATGTTCTTTTGTTCCCAAAATCAGTTTGGGAATAGAAATCCGTTTGTTAAATTTTTTGTGCCCGGGCATAATTTTGCAAAAAATTATTTCCAGAATCAGTTTTGGAACATAATCAAGAAACAAAAAAAAGCAACTTTTTAATTCTAGAACAATTTTTCTAGAACTGATTCTTCTTGGTTTTTTTCTTTTTTTTTTTGGTTGTTGTTCTTCTTTAGTCCACCGCCCGCACCCGCCAGCCACCGCCTGCTAGGGCCGACGAGGGCAGCTTGCCACCGTGACGGCGAGACCTCGTCCAGCCAAGGCGAGGCCGACCTCGCCGTCACCAACCTTGGCGACGGCGAGGTCGGCCTCGCCAGATCTGGGCGAGGCTCGACCTCTCCCAGCCAAGGCAAGGCCAGCCTCACCGTCGCCACCCAGGTCCGTCGCCTGGGTGACGAACCTTGCCCAGCCAAGGCGAGGCCGACCTCGCCGTCACCACCGGCAAGGCCGGCGGCGAGGGCGATGGCGAGGGCCGCGACACCCTCTCCGGCCCTGGCCTGTGGCCGGTCGCCGGCACTGGCTACTGGCCATGGCCAAGGAAGGAGATGGGAAAGAAAGAAAAAAAAGAAAAAAATTCAAAAAATTATTAATAAAATGAAATTTTGTGTAGTTACCAAACGCTTTCAAATGCTTGGAAATTATTTTCAGGCACAGAATAAAAAAGAATCATTTCTGAGTAAAATCTGTTCCCGGGCACACAATGGTTGCCATGCGCAGCCGAAGTAATTTCCAGTATGTACACCTTGCCAAAGTTGCCAAGTAAAGGAGATGATTGCAGGGCTCTTTTGAAATAGCATCACGTGGAAAGTAATTACCCTTGTGAACACCTCGACTCCGACATAAAAGTATCGATTCTTTCTGTTAATGGGGCGGGCAAAGCCAATGGTCGCCCATCCTTCACTTTGATTCGAGTGGCCAAGCGGTCCAATTACAAAGAGAGAGTAACAAAATATCCTTTTAAGTCTAAATTGAGGTAGTCTTGTCCATTTAGAGGAAGGGATTGTTTTGGTGGGTCTTCGTAAAAAAGGCGAGGGTAAAAAAGAAGTACAATTGCCTCGTCGAAGAAAGGCAATTCCACCACAAGATTGGGAGTCTTCAGAGAAGAAGTAAAAGCTTTTATTTAAAGTCCCAAGTAGGAGAAACGCCAATCACCGTAAATCACTCAGACCCTTGTTTTTTACTGAGATATTTGGTTTTGATAGCTTTAGGATTTCTTTTTTCTTTTGGGGTAAGAAATACTACTTTTATTTATCATTAGAAGTTCTAGACAAAATCCAAAGAAGTTGCGGGGTTGGGCTAATCAAGAAGAAAGAGGGGAAAATTACTTAAAAAGTCCTAAATCTAATATAATTGTGCCAATTCAATCCTAAACATTTTACATTTATACCAATTCAGTCCATTTGGCTAATTTTGGCAAGCCAGCGCGGACGTGGATGTTGGCCAACGCGCACATCAGCGTCGGACGATGCTAACATGACAATTTTTAATTTTTTTAATTAATTTATTAATTTTTTTTTTCTTCCTTCTTTTGTTTCCCACTATGGCCGGTGAGCTATTGCTAGCGAGGGTCGCCGAAGCTCGCTGGCCACAGGGCGTGGGCCACAAAGCCCTTGCTCGGCCTCGCCCAAGTCTGCGCGAGGCCATGGCCGCTATCACCCATGGCTAGCGAGGCTTACTTCACTAGACTTCTGCTCTTGGGCACAATCAAATGTAAAAAAATTAATAACTAGTATATTAAAAAATTGCCATGTCAGCGTCGCCTGAGTGGCCGGTGTCTACGTTAACGTCGGCCGGCCAAAATTAGCTGGATGGACTGAATTAGTATAAATTCACAAGGTTTAGGATTAAATTGATAAAAAAATATTTATGATTGAATTTGGCATAATTATAATAAATTTAAGAATTTTTTGATAATTTTTCCGAAAAAAGAGTATTCAAATGTTGGGTTTTAGCTACCCAATCAGCTAATTGATTCGCGATGGGCCACGGATATACTTTTGAAATTAGCCAGCTGGGCTCGAGGCGTCCAAGACACAAGTGCCTCCACCTCCCATGCCCCCACGTGATTACGTTCCAGCAAGAGAGAGAGTCAACCAGTGCCGCGTTGTCCGACTCCCGAGTACCAAGCTTCTCTTCACTTCTTCTAGATCTGAAAGCGCATCAATAGCCATCTACCACTACCAGAGAGCGAGAGCTTCGGCTTGAATCGACAAGGAAGCAGGTGATTTCTTCATCGCGAATCCCATCGAGCAGTACACCTGAGGCGTCACCACACACCGGCTTTGGAGGACCCCCCATCGATCTTTCATCTCGAGGGACCGGTTTCTTCGGCGGGAACCGATTCGCAGGTAAATCAACTCGAATCGTGTCAAAGTTTCGAACTTTCAGCGTCCCGCTTGCTATGATTTCTGATCACAGGCTCCGCCGAGGCATATTAGGGTTCCTGGGTTTTTGGGGGGGTTTCTTCGTCGGAGCACACGAGGTCGTCTCTGGATTTCCAGATACACCGGAGAAGAGCTGCGATCTTATCGAAAGATAGTGAGTTCCCTTGTCCGTCGTTGGTGATTTTCGTAGTAGACACTCGTCCTTTCGCGTGGATGTTCTGACCCCGAGATCTCCAAAATTTGCCTCGGTGTCTTTCCGAACCGAGCTGGTCCGGGTTGAGGCGTGAAGGTGTGAATCCTCCGATCGTACTGCCTCTCGGGACTCGGACACGACTTGATCTGCTGCTGCTTCGAGGCAACTTCTTCCTCTCGAACATCGAAATCCATCGCAGTAATTTCATCTCTACATCGCTCCTCGAGGTCAGCCCGACCTTCATTCTCCGGTCTATTGCAATTGATAGGACAAAAATACATTGGACCATTACTTATCGCATAACACCTAATGTCCTTTAAGGCATACAAAATATCACTTGTGAAATCATCATCACATATGTTGCTAATATTTCTTGCTACAATCTTCTTTTATTCAAGCTAATCGGGTATGAATGGGTTGGAGCGGTTGAACCCTGGTGGAATCGCATGCTGGCCCTCACCCCGAAATTGTTTTCAAAACATTTACCTTTGACGAGAGACTGGAATGGTTTGACTGAGGTCCCTTGGGCCAAAAAGCCCGTTCGATGAAAATTACGAAAATGCCCTTCTAGACCCGATTTAGGGTCTATCGGCCCTATAAGTACCCCGATTGTCCAAAATTACCCAAAGCCGTGAAACATCCAAAATACTCGGTTTTTGCAGAAATAGTTCATTTTTTTCCCTTGAAAACAGTTAAAAACTAGATTTTTCCAAATGTCGATCGTGCTCATCGGATCAGAATTGTCACCAACAAAAATTTATCTGAACAGATCGGATCAACTATAGAATTTTTGGATGTCCATAAAACCTTTTTCCATTCTATTGGCAGTTTTCGTAATTTCTGGAAAATGACAAAATTCAAATGTTTTCCGGACATTATGAAAAATTCACAATTGTACTATTTTTTTGTGCTGGTTACAATGAAAAACTTGAAAGTGAGCAAAGCTGCTGGTTTCAATGCACTTACACATATTTAGTATGTGGATAATTTTTAGGTGGACTTTGTCTTTGCAGGTTGAATAACACAAACTCGCCATAAAGTGTGGTTTTCACGCGATTTAAATGCTTACAGCAAAGACGTGACTTTTATGTTTATATAGCATAGAAAGTTACTGACTACTACGACGGATTTGACAATAAGATTTATGCATGTTTAGGGCGGGAGGAGAATGTAGCATTTACAGGAAGTAAGCACGTCTTTGATAATGATATAATGGAAGATTCACAAGCCGGTTAGAGTCACATTTATCTGTTTAACAAAATGGTTTTTAAGTGGATATGAAGAGGAGTGGTTATTCCGTACTCTGGTCAAAATTGTGTGGCTTGACTTTGGTTTGCCATCTGAACACAGCTTCATTGCTACCAGTCAAGCAGCAGTAGAGGGATACCTGTCCGTCGATAATAATTCTAGACTTATCGTCTACTACGGTCTCTCTCTCTTTTCTCGCTTTATCTTTCGCCTTCAGCCTCTCTCTTGACCATTCGAGACTATCGTCTACTGATTAGTCCTCACTCGCTTTCTATGTTCTTTTCCCTCCTCAAAGTTCTCGCCCAGGCTTGTTCAGGGTCTCCTCTCCCGGATCTCGCGCCTCTCTTTGCATCTTAGCTCGCGGAAGGTAATCACTTTTTCATCCCTTATTAGCGTGTCGTTTATGTTGATTCTGTCGCTTTGTTGTCGGAATAATCGGCTGAACTAAGTGTGTTCTGCGGCCCTTTTAGTCTATAGGAGGTGTGGGGTGGCTGCTGAATTGCAGAGGAGGGTCTTCTATTCTCTCTTTTGGGGCCGCTGTTACCTGTTAACGAGGTATGTCCCAAGCTCAGATTTTGACTTCGGTGAAAGAAGAAAGCCCTTTGTTTTCGACTTTAGATGTGGCTAATCCTATGATGGCCTTGCTTTTTGATTGTTAGTTGCATTTTAATTTGATATTTGATCTTTTGTTGAACTAGAACGAGCAGGTCTGCAAGCGCGCTAGACTCTATTGCGCGCAAAATTGCCACATTTCGCTTGAATCCAGAGACCATTAGTTTTTATGTGTAGTGAGGTTTCTCTGTGTTTGAAGGTCCTAGATCAATTTATAGAAAAATAAAACATAAAAATAAAAGTAGGCCGCTTCCAGGGTCGACTAGTTTGGTTCTCGGTTACAAAAACGGAGAACCGATTATTACGGAATAAATTCCCGATTCTTAGGTTAGAACCTACTCATCCTAAAACTAATCATCTTAAGAGTAAGTCTTCTCTTAAGGAGATTTCATTTGACAATTTTACCTCCATATAGAACATTCCAAATGAGTAATCTTCTTAAGATCTTTTACATGATATCCAATAGTAAGTAAAAAAAACCTAGTTGATCTTATGATGCACACATGAAAACAATCAAATAAATCGAGCCATACACAGAGTAGGAGATTCACCCAGCTTTATATCACTCATTTCTTTCACCTCTTTTGTTACAAACAATAAATTCGTTCTTCAAAACGTGACTAATCAATTTAACCTGACTTATCACAAATTTAGCCGATAGTCCTATTCTACTTCCATTTAATTGGATAAAAAAATCTTTACGGTGATATTCTCAAGGTGGGCCCTCCAACAAAAATGGGGACAAGCACTCAACGCCATTGTTTCAAACCTTGGTCGTCTCTGAATTTTCCTCAGCAGCTTCCTTTTTCTTCCTTTCTTATCTTCTTCTCCTCCTTACATCAAATCAATACCTAATTTCTAATCGTTCAGACTAACATGGAGAAAGGGCAAAGTCAGAGCAACGCAAACATAGAGATGCACCGTCTCATTTCAGGTCGTTCCTTTGCGGTGCTTCTTGTGTCTCTATGCTCGTATTCACTAATCTCAATAAGAAGAAAAAGAGTGCATAAAAAGAGAGAACTGAGGGAGCATCCGCTCCTCCGTTTGGTGCCATCTAATAAATTATAGTCTCTATTTTACAGACAAGATAACAATCAACTCTTTAGATTTGAAAATTTGAAATGAAAGGCTCGGTGATAACATACTAGTTCAAAATAAATTCATTTCGCATGGAATGGTAGCATGTGGTGCCGGCGTGGAATAGATAAAACATAAAAAACCACGAGCATTTGTTTATCTCTACCTCACATTTCCAACTTCATTAAGAATATGACAATTTTAAACAAGATTAAAATATAAAATCACATCCACAATTACTAGCTCGGTCCTTTCTTGACGTCATTCACACATTTCTAATTCCGTTTCAAATCAATTATTATCTTTTGATTGATATATCAAATTCTAATTTTCAATAACCAAATAAAAACCGAACATATGCTTATATTTCTTTATAGCCAAAATGAAAAATTAATGTACACGTTACTCGTGAGTGGATCAAGCCAACAAGTTTGACTTGAATAGGGTGAGGTCCAAAAGAAGATAAGGCGACAGCTAAAAGCATATGCAACTGCTCCTAGTCCATCAATTGCCAATTAATTAAAGATTTCATGTTCATTTTTTCTTGCGTGGTAACAGATTCATGTTCATACTTTTTCGTAGACATTAGTTCATCGAGCAGCAGAAAAGCATCTTTCGTTCCAACTTTCGCCCTTAGATTGCCATGCACAAAGGGCAGAGTCAGAGAAAGAGGAAAATTGATAACACTTCATTCTCTTTTTTTACTTTTAATTTGTGTTCATGAAGGTTTCTATGTGTCCTGAATTCATAATTCAAAAGCCTTTTGGACGTTACCTCTAAATATTGCTGCTTTCTTCTAAAAGTAAGCCCATACACTTCATTCCCTTCTTTGCTATGTTTTTCTTTTCTAAATCATCTTTTATTTTTTTGAATATTTTGTTCATTGGTTTACTGACTTTTCAAGAGCTGAATGTTATGCCAACAAAATTGTAATAAAAAATGACCCAGAAAAGAACTCAAGTACAGTGTCCAAGTATTTCATATATCATTAGTAACTTAATACTAGCGCGTTATGCTCATTTGGTGTCATTTAACAAATTATAGCTCTATTTTGCAAACAATATATCAATCAATAATAATATAAATTTGAAAATTTGAAGTGAATAGCTTGGTAACAACATATCATAGATTCATCTTATATAAAATTATTGGCATGTGGGGCCAGCATGAAATAGATAAGAGAGAAATGACAACAACCATTTGTTCAACTCTTCCTCACATTTCCAACTTCGTTAAGAATATGACAATTTTAAATAAAATTAAAATATGACATCACCGAATTTGAACCAATAAAAGAAGTGAAGCAACCGAACAGAGAAGCAACATTCACACAAAAAGAGAAAAGAACACGAGAGAGAGAGAGAGAGAGAGAGAGAGAGAGAGAGAGAGAGAGAGAGAGCAAGGAAGCAAGAACAAAGACGGTCTAAGATTGATTGAAGTTAAGCAAGAGGGAGAGTACTGTGTTCCAAGCCATTGGAAGAGAGAGGAACGTATCAGCTTGTCAGGAAAGCTCGAGTTTTCTTGGAGAAATAAGGACAAGAGATCTGTACACTTTTAGCAATTCCTTTTTTTTTTGTTCGAAAAAAAAAATCAAGTGAAAGTTTTGTTGAGCGGTCCTTAAAGACCGCGAAAATTCAAAGACTTTGGACATTCTTTTTTTATCATTGATTTTTGTAAGCGATCATGTTACTAAAGGTACAACTAACAATTCATGTTGTGTCATGTTAATTGTGTCGTGTCGAGTTAGGATAAAACACAAATATGGCAAAATCCAAATAAGACGTGTTTAGTAAACACATTGAACTGCCACAATACGAACACGACACTTTTAATAAAGCAGGTCAGACGACACGACACGATAAATGCAATTATTAAACATGTCACCATATGAAATGTCAACACGACACCATGCAATGTGCTAACCTGTATACATGCAAAAAGATGCAACACATTGCATTACATTTAAAGAAAGAGCAAAATTGCTTCCCTTGATATTCCAATTACAAGTGAGGCGCAACCTTTTGTATTAATATTAATCCTATGTAAGAGCCATACAATTTTATCTCACAAAAAGCCCCAAATTTCGAAGTACTAAAGCCATAAATTTCAGAATCTAAAATTAAGAACAAAAAAACAAAGCAGATCATGAAAGAAGAGAGGGAAAGTTAAAATTCCTCGAAATATGTTTGGATACATGTTGGGTGGAAATGATGTAAATGGAACTTAATTTCATTGATAGACTCAATTACTTCATTCTATTCATCCTTAAAAAGGAAGTAAGGCCAATTTTGGAAGAAAAGTGCAATTTTTGCATTTCCTCTCATTTCTATGCACTTTTAGAAAGAAATAAAATGTGGGCCCAAAAGGAAGTATTTCCCTTTCATTTAGAATCATTTTTATCGACTTCCTTCATAATTTAAACAGATGAGTAATTGAAAATTTTTCCTCGTTTAATATTTAAGCTTTAGTTAATTTTATATATGAACTATGCCTAAAACTTGAAACCACCAAATTAAAAACGTGATTGATGGAAATTTCCTCCAATTAGGAAAGTGCACGCATCTAGAGGATGAGGTTTATTGGGCAACAATTAATTGGCACTGGGATTAAACAGAAGGCATTGTGAAAATGAGGTTCCTACATAATTTCAATATCTTGAAATATCATAGATGTGCGTGAAGTTACATAGTTGTTCGAATGTGTTTTAAGGAAGTTTACTAATTACACTTCAATCTGTTTAAATATTTGAATGTGTTTCAACTATGTGTTTCTAAACAAGTAAATGATTTGGGCTTTTTGGGGGCCTCTTTAGGGCCACCTTATCTTCCGCAGTGAAACGACATCGGCTTACTTAACAGAAGGCCGTGTCTTCGTTACCCATCTCTTTCTCAAGAATACGAACCTTCTTCATGCCTCAGGGAGAAATAAACATACACGTTATTCGGAGTGGACCAAGCCAGCAAAGCATTTGCAGAAAAGCATCCTAAAAGCATCTTTCGTTGTTCATCAATCCTTTTGATCAGCATCTTTTCGTTTCAACTTTCCCCCTCAAATCACCATGGGCTATGGGCAGAGTCAGAGAAAGAGAGAAGAGGAAGAGAGCATTGAGGGAGCATCCACTTCTTCGTTCATCTCTCCGGTACTCACAGGTCAAGGTGACGATCAATACGACGTATTCTTGAGCTTTAGAGGCTCAGATACTCGCAAAAAATTCACCGATCATCTCTACCATAGACTCGTCAGTGCAGGGACCGTACCTCTTTCCGTGTTCAAGGACGATAACAGCATCCCAATTGGTGAGGAATTTGGTTCACAGATTCTTGGTGCCATCTCACGGTCTAAGATTTCAATCCCCATCATCTCCAAAAATTATGCTACGAGCAAATGGTGCCTCCGTGAGCTCATTCATATGATAGACCGTAAGAATAGCATGTCACACATAGTGTTGCCAATTTTTTACGAAGTGAAACCATCGGATGTGCGGTATCTAAAAGGAAGTTTTGGGGAGGCCTTCCGTTTGAGCCAGGCGCGTTTTGAGGAGAAGGATATCAAGGAAGGGCGACAAGCCCTTAATGAAGTCAGTTACTTAAATGGATGGGAATCTGAGAAATTTGCCGACGGGTACTTCACTGAACCTTTCTTTTTTCGATTAGTAAGTTTTCTTCTTCACGCAGAACCGATAAAATGTAGATGAATTACTTTCACTGCAAACTCAGAAAAGATGCCCAAATTGTCCCAGTAAACAACCATAATGCCTCGAGGACGACAAACTCTAGCACTACCCAAGATGTCCCTAAAAACTAAACCAACGGCCCCTAAAACCAAAGCATCCGATAGTGCCCAAGAATTTTACATTTCCCGCCGGTGCAGAGCCAAAAAACAAAGAAACGACAATACCTCCAGCCAATGGTATCAATCACTAAACAATAGGCCTACAAAGGACTCCAATGCTCGGTCTTTCGAAGCTTGATCACCACCAGATAAAATCGACCTCCTATAGCCAATAAGTGTTAGCTCAGTTGATAAGGATCGAATACTTCATTTGCATAGACTATGTCTAGGTTCATAATCTCACACTGTTTTTGTTGTTTGACAGGCATGAGGGAAAATTAATAGAACGTGTGGTCGAAACTGTTACAAGTACGTTACAGGAAGATTTTCAGCTGGATGTGACTAAGCAACTAGTTGGACTTGAGGGTCGTCTTGAGGAAATTATGAATTGGATAGATAGTCCTTCCATCCATGCTCGAATGATTGGAATTTATGGCATGGGTGGGATAGGCAAGACAACTCTTGCCAAGCACATCTACAATCAACTCTCAAATAAATTTGTGCATGTCAGCTTCGTTCCAGATGTTGGAGAAATTACCAGACGCCACGGTATTACGTATTTACAGAGTCAACTTATATCGGATATACTACATAGCAAAAGTCAAGTGTCTAGAATTGATGATGGAATTAACATAATCAAATCTAGATTCAAAGGAAAAAAGGTTCTCATTCTTCTCGATGATATAGATGACAAGAATCAACTACATGCACTGGCTAGGGAACAAAATTGGTTTATGGCAGGTAGTATGATCATTGTTACAACTAGAAATGCAGGCGTTCTTGATCAATCTGAATTCGAGGGAGTCTACAAGTACGAATTGAATGAATTGGATCAGAAGCATGCTTTACTACTGTTTAAGAGACACGCATTTCGTACAGACCATACTTCGAGGGACTTTGAGCGTATATCTCATGATATCATATCCACCATGGGTGGGCTTCCCTTGGCACTTGAGATCGTAGGTTCATCCTTGTATAAAAAAACGAATCAAAAAGTATGGGAAGATGTGTTGAAGAAATTAAAAAGCGAACCACATAGAAATGTCCAAAAGATATTGCGAATAAGTTATGATGCATTAGAAGATGGACATAAGCAGATTTTTCTTGATGTTGCTTGTTACTTAATTGGCAAAAATAGCATATTCGCCACGTACATGTGGGAGGACGATGGGCTTTATCCAAGTGAAGGAATTGAAGAGTTGAAGTCGAGGTGCTTAATTAAAATTGGAGATCATGGTTGGTTTGAGATGCATGATCAACTGAGAGATCTTGGAAGGAGCATTTTTCGTGAAGAACAACTGCTTGACAAACGTAGCGGACCATGGGACAACAACTACAAGGGAACCACAAAAATACTATGCTATCGAGGGGTAAAATATGGCACTCCTTCTTTTTCTCTCCCTCTTATTTTAATATATTTAATCTGATCTATTCTAATATTTCATTTAGCATCTTCCTTTCTAGGAAAAATATTTTTGTAAACATCCATTTATGTCCATCATAGATTAATTGTGACAACTAAATAAATATAAGTATCTGAAGGATGAAAGAGTTAAATCATTTGATTCGATTTCATTGATATAAATTACATCCGTAAAAATTTAATTTACAATCAATTTAATAACCTTTAACTACAAAATATACACTATAAATCTCATTTACTAAAAGCATGCAATTGTCATATCTAGTTGAAAATATTGATAATATGAAGGACTACAATAATGAATGAAGATGAAGTATAAACATCATAGATCATATACATGAAGATGTCCTGGTTGAAAGAAAAAAAAAAGATGGTATGTGCCAATTATAATAACTGATAATTAATTCAAAGCAATAAGTTTCGAAAGAATTTCACACTTATCACATATGCTTGCTTTTTAGTACGGCCGAATGTATTGGTGGTGCTTCTATGATTTACGAATCCAATGTTTGATTTTTTTTCTCCATTTTGATTTTGAAGATACCCATCCCTCTACTCTACTAGTTATATCTATCTCTTTTCATTCCTATTTCATCTTAATAAATAAGATAGCAAAAATCCCCTTAAAAATATTTTTAGGAAAATCTTACTATTTTTTAAGGTTTTATCACATTAACCATGCTCATTTCTTATAATAAACATTTCTATCTGCCATAAGTTGTTTTATATTATTTATATTTTTTGTGACAATGCCTCTTTTGTGCCAAAAACCGCTAGACTAACTTGACTATTTATAAAAAAAAATAAAACTTGACTAATGAGAGGAAATGTCGTGCTTATTATTATATCCATATCTTTGTATCCATTATATATGATTTTCAGCATGAAGCCAATTTTTTCAAATATGTTTCTCTTTTACTTATATTGTCAATGTGATTTTATTATTATATATTGTCCATCTGGATGCCTCATAGGCTCATGACTGATCAATGGCCAGGAATTAACCTTAGCAATTAACCAAGAGATGTTGGGCAAAGGAAACAATTTATAGTCTTGATATAATTTGAAATAGTTCGTTGCTATGATTTAAATCGCACTCTTTTGTTGATCCAATAACTTCTTAGCATTAGCAAAAAGAGCACACCATACAAGTATTTGAAAAATGAAAAAAAGTCAAATCTATTTTGAACAGACAGAAACATTGAAAGATGATAATTAGTATAGAAAAAAATATTAAATGATTGTATGACACGAGAGATTTTGATTTAACTTCGGAAAATGAAATACTTATGGGACTAAATTTCAATTGTCTCGACTATTTTAAATATGATTTTATTTATTTTGTTATATCCTATGTCTTTAGTTCATTTTGATGAAATATATGCAAAAACTTTTGACAAGGTTTGAAATCCCCTTTCTGTATAGTAGATTTTTTAATGTATTACACAATATAGATGATGTACAAGTGAAAATTAAGAAAGATAGCGTGAAATTATGATTACAACAATTTAGTGACTCTTTCTACTAACAAACTTAAGAGAAATTATACCCATCGCAGGTTTTTCAGCGGTTAATATATAAAGTAGAGATAACGAGAGATGAGTCAAACCGTAAAAGTGGATCAAACCAACCAAAAAAGCAATTCTAACCAATTGAACTTTTGGGGGAAAATAACGATATTATTATTAAAGTGAAACAAAGCCATATGAGATTTTTTTTTTCACCATTTTCAACTTATCAAATGATCTGTTTTAGCAGGAACGTTAAACATTAATGTTTTGACTTATAAAAGCGACTTTTTTTTTTCGATCCCTGTCAAAGTGGACGCGCTACAAAATTTGAAAAAAAGAGAGCCAAAGATAAAACATCAAGGTGCATTTGCCTCAGTTGTTTTAAAGCAAGAACTATTTTTTTTCTTTATTTTCATGTCATTTGTTCAAATTTCTAAAGGCCGTAAAAAAAAAAAAATTAAACGTGATTTCACGTGTCGATATTTATATACGGGAAGGATGGCAAGATGACAAATCGTGCGAATCCAAGATTTAAAAAAAAAAAAAAGTAAAAAAGTAAAAAAAAGTCAACTGAGAGACTCCATGGATTGATTTGATATGTAACTGGGAATTGAAAAGGATTCCGTCATTTTCTTTGTCCCGTCCAATTCCTTCGCCCATATCCAGACGCCCTCAGATGAACAATTTTAAAACTTGCAGGGAAGCCACTGGTTCCATGACTTGATGAGGGGAGCTTCAATCGGAGACTCCAACGAACTCCTTTCTGAAGTAAGATGGCTTCAGTGGGAGGTCGAGGGAGACGATCCGCCTCTTCCGACGACCAGTTTGCATCTACCGAACTTATCGGTGCTGGATTTATCAAGGAGCTGGGACATCACAGAGGATTGGGAAGGATGGAGTAGTTCATTCATGGTAAGATTGGGGGGAAAAGAAAGAGACATCCTCCCTCTCTCTCCGTGATTTAAGATGGGGTTTTGTTTTTGTTTAGCCGATCCCCCACTCTCATTCTTTTTGACAGCTTTATTCTCCTCTTTTTTGTGTAGACGGCAAAGCGGCTACGAGTTCTCGACCTTCGCGATTGCTATGATTTAAGATGTACTCCTGATCTCTCGGCTTTCACGCAGTTGAAGATCCTCACCTTGAGATATTGTCGGAAACTGGAGCATCTCCACCCTTCTATTGGCAAACTCAAGAGCCTCGTTTCCTTGGACTTGTATGGCTGTGGAAGTCTCAAGGAGCTACCAGAGGAAGTGGGCGAATTAAAAGATTTAGAAGAACTTGTATTAGATGATTCTGGTATTACAGAGATCCCTACGTCTATTGGTTCTCTGAGGAAGCTGAAGAAACTGAGTGCCGGCCGTTGTAGGTCACTGAGAGAAATCCCTAGCTCAATTGGGGATTTAAAGAATTTGCAACACCTGGACTTGAGTGGCTGCAAAAGTCTAAAGGAGCTACCAGAGGAAGTGGGCGAATTAAAAGATTTAGAAGAACTTCAATTAGGTAGATCTGGTATTACAGAGATCCCTACGTCTATTGGTTATCTGAGGAAGCTGAAGGAATTGAGTGCCTACTGTTGTAAGTCATTGAGAGAAATCCCTAGCTCAATTGGGGATTTACAGAATTTGCAACACCTGAACTTGAGTGGTTCTGGGATTGAAAAGCTTCCCAATTCTATTGGGGATCTTTCTTCTCTCCGGCGCCTTGAGCTGCGTCGCTGTGACGAGCTTTGGTCGCTGCCATGGCTTTCTAGCCTAATCCACCTAGAAGAACTCCATCTTTGGGAATGCCATCTACTTGAAGACATCCCCGAGCTTCCCTCGAGACTCTTGAAACTCTGTATTGAGGATTGTGGTAAGCTGATATTGCTTAAGCTTGACGGATTGAAGAACTTGGAAAAGTTTTCAATAAAAAAGTGCAGTTCAATTGAAAGACTGGACCTTTCACAATCAATTCGTCTGAAACGATTACACGCTGCAGATTGCGATAACCTAGTTGAAATTCAGGGCCTTGATAATTTGGAGCTCTTGGAGGACATATCTATATATCGCTGCAATTCCATTAAAAGGCTTCTCTGTGCAGAATCACAGTGTTTGAAGGAATTACGGATATTCATGTGCAACAATCTAGTCGAAATTAGAGGTCTTGATGGTGGGAAGTCCTTAGAAAAGTTGGATTTTGGAGGATGCGAATCAATGGAGATGTTGCCAAATTTGACGGGATGTGAGAAGTTACAATCTCTAAATGTTCGAGATTGCAAGAAACTTACTCAGCTTCGGGGACTTGAAAAGTTGGATTTAATTGATTTGAATATTTCTGGTTGCGACTCATTGGAAGCGATACCGAAATTATCTGGAATTTAGAAATTATGAATTAAAGCTGTTTTGCGACTCATGGAGTGATGTTTCCTCAACAGAGGTAAATTAGCAGTGAACAATCATTTTTCTTCTGAGATTCATGACCTACATTTCATCACTATCTTCTTTTGACAAGAAGGTTTTCCATCACAGGTTCTGATTCTGAACTATCCTAGATTGCTAGTCTTACATAATTGAAGGAGTGGGGAGTTGGTCATAGAAGCTGACATGATGCTTCAGCCAAGATCAAAATGTAGACCCAAATGTCAATAGAAGGCATGGTAAGATTCTTCATCCTTGAATGGCCAGCGTGAGCGAATAGAGTAAGGCTTTTCTCGAAGTTCTCTTTGTTTAAAATGATTTGCTCCACACCAGGTATCTATTTGATTGATTTTGGAAACTCTGAATTTGCCTATGTATAATTGCTGTTGATTACGTTATAGCAATGTTTTTCGTTTATCCTTCCATTGGCAGCTTCTGAAGACTGCAAACAGATAGCAGCTTGTGAGACAAGAATGAAAATATCAACAAAGGTAAACGAGAATTACCTAGTGATTAACAGTTCCCCTATCGATAAACCCAAGATTTGAAATTTTCATCTAGAGGCCGATGAACTTCTGCTACTCATTATTGTTTACTATGCCTGGAATTTCCCAATCTCGAAAGTTCATATTTCTTTGAAAAGAATCCTTGGCTATTTTGAGTTCCTTTGTGAGTTCTTTTGTATGTCAAATTTGACTAATGGTAGATGTCCTGTTTGGGACAAACGCCTTTGGATTGTCCGTGATGAACGAAAACCCTGTCAAGTTTCTTATTATTCCCTTGATGTCCTGCATTAACCTTCTCAGAAGAGCATCACTTCCCAGTAAATATGATGAACTGAGCTAAAATAAAATTCAAGGTTCAAGTATTACTGGCTGGTGACAAAAAAAAATGTTAAAGTAGTTTTAGCTAGTCTGTCATATATGAATGTAGACCACCCTGACATTACCAGTAGTCAAACTGTTGTTTTGAAAGATTATGAAGCAAGGTAAACTGTTGCTGCTTCTATGACAGGTTTGGTTGGTCTATGTAATGATCTAGGCTTACTTTGGGACTTCAATTCAGTTAACTGTATCGATGACCTTTTGCATTAACCAACAATATTTTGCCCGTCTGTGAAACAATCTGGGACGAGGAGCTCAAGAATTTGCTAATTAGTTTGCATCCCGTTTGACCCTATTGTTGTCATGGAATCGTTTTATCACATGCTTGATCTAAGTCTAGCTAACTTGGCTGAGGAACTTCAAATTCCATGCCAGAGACTGATCAAAATGAAGAAGATATATTTTGTAGGGGACCCATCAGCAACAGCTGAGGACCATCTTTCGTGCCAACCTTGAAGAGGCTCGTGGGCCAACTGGAGTGTCTTGAGTAAGTTTTGATGCTTGTGAGGATCCAAAACACTTTATCTGGTCTCAACAAGCACATACCTGAATGATTTTAAATGTTGTATTTTCAGTTGAGTGCTTTTTGTATGCTCATGAGGTTCAACCTCTCTATTAATCAAATATGTAGCTGCTGATTTTTTTGTACGTCACCCTGATGCAGAGGTGTTTGATGCCTTTGCATTCTAATGTTATCACTCCTGAACTCGATGAGGCTCTGCAGAAGGAGGTATGCACTACTAGTCGTACCATAACAATGAAACAATAACCTGTGTGCTTATACTATATGAGCTGTGGAATTTCACCTGAAAATCAGTATGCAAGTATGCATGCGGACAATCTCCTCCATTTCTATCAGTTTATCATTGTGATACTATCCTTTGAATGTTGTCATATAGGTTTCTGATTTTTTTAATTTGATAAGCTCAATTCTCATGCGACGTTGACTTTGTAAAGTTGAAATTCACCTCCTAGAAAACTATCCTGTATTGCTGATTTTGCTAATGGGATATTGGAAAATAACCAAGTAACAAATTCATCTTTCTGTTCTGTGTTTCGGGCACTTCACCTTTTTAGCATAATTTTATTGACCTCAATTATGTTCCTAAACATAAACAAGGAAATTGTTGCTAATTGCTTATGTATCCCAAGCCTATTGTTTTCTTTGGCCAGCTTATGAGGCTTATGTTCATTGCTGTCCAACTGCGATTGGGGCAAATGATGTTTGTGCATTCGTGCCTTATCTTTCATGGTGTATATTGTGATGCTCCGATCTCAGTTATCTTCATTTTATGATAGTTAGTAAATCCTATCCTTCTTGTGTAGATTCAACCTGCATTTCATAAAATTCAGAGAGCAGCCCCAAACATCACAGGATGGAGATGTGGACAGGAATGAGATAAGTCACGAGATGTTATGGAAAAGCATTCCAAAGTTCTTTGCTAATGGTGCTTATAATGTGCTCCATGTTAATAATCTTCATAGGATTCTTGAGATAAAGGGACCTCTTCTAATGTGGTGTAGTAGTCCTCTGCAAGCTTTGGCATCATGCTATTATTTAGCGAAGGTCAAATTTCAAAACGCTTGCAGGAGGACCGCATGTGCAGGTGGTATGTGAAGTTAAGTACAAAGTCGTTTTTGTCAACAAGATTACCGTTTAGATGTCGACTTCAAGCTGTGAGAGACTTCTTTCATGGCAAAAGCGAATGTTGTGGAATCATTAAATATATGTGAATTGCAAGCAAGATTTTCAGTGAAAAGGTTCCCAAAAGACTAGTTTCTTGTTTAGAAGAATTTTGAGCACAAAATAAAAGTCTTCGTTAGCGTACAATCATCTCTCGGAATTCGGAAAGTTCATATATTGACATTTTGCAATCACTTTAATTGTATAATCTCAAGCTTGATTCCTTTTCGTATGAATCTATAAAGCAAAAGGAACACAGCCATACATTTTCATACCTGAAACCAAATTTTCATAGGCATTATCTACAGTTGAACCTATTTCAACGGATAGGTTTCAAGGGGAACTTGTGTGGAACTTGGAATTGCTCATCCTTATTGTCTACTTGAATTTTGACTCAATATTTTCCGGAGATCAAGACAAGGCGAAGTAGCTTGTTAAGCCAAGTTTGAATCTTTAAGTACTAAATCATATACAATGCAGGTCGCTAAGCCAAGTTTGAATCTTTAAGTACTAAATCATATACAATGCAGGTCGTGTTCACGAATCAAAACATTAATTAAACATAGCAATCGTGAAATATTCTAATTTTGAGAATATTAATTAAATATAACACGAGAAGTCGCAGGTAAAGTCAATGTATTGATTGTATAATTTATTACTTAATTGCTCAACCAACGCCTAGGCATTTAATCCAAAGGGCAATGGCTTTGTCTTTGGTTGCTCATACAACATTAGTTACGACCTTATCGACCGAATTGATTTGAAGTTGGAACATGAATCGACCGGATGATTGGATGAACGTGTTAAAACGATTGAACCATTTGGTTCTGTTCATGGTTTTCCCCCTTTTTCTCTTCCACTTTGGTTTCAAGGTAATGATTTGCTTTGAACTTGTTTATAAAAGTTCTATCACATACGTCAAGATCCTATTAATAACAGCCATTCGAACAATAACCATGTAAGTTTCAAAAGGACAGGAGAAGGTTTGCTTTGGTCTCTTTGGTTCTCCCCATTTTTTTGTAACTCCGTGCTTGACGGAACGGTAATAAAAATATGAAAACTGTCCTCAAAACGGAACGGAACTATAGAAGTCCTTTCGGTTCATTTAACACCAACGAACTGCACAATAGAATATACAGCTTCGGTAGTTTGCCATATGATGAATCCTATACGAAGAGGAATCAAAATAGACAAATTGAGGAAATTAGGGGGTTAAATAACCCCAAAAACGGAGGCTTAAACAAAATTTGGCCAAAAAAAAGTTCTAAAGACCGAAATCGACCATGAAGTAGATCTAAACGTCAAATCCTACAAAGAAAGCAGTCTTCTTATTTTGCAATCAGCATCATGTAGTTGAGAAAAGAGCTTACTGAAAAGAGGAGAAATTAGCAGGTTAGACAAATTTTACTTTGCAAGGGAATGCATGCATGCATGCCGAAACATGTTGCAGAAATTCAAAAGGTAAGGAAATTCAAAAAAAAAAACCTTCCAGCAAATATAAATATATATGAATATCACATAGGAGTCATCTCATTTTCCTATGTTTTGAATGCTGGAGATTGATGAATGAAACAATGATTCGAACAAACATTATACAGGAAAGATCGAACATTGTGGCACTCCTCTGAATACTTAATTGCCATTAGATACATATATAAGATGATAACCCAATAAACAAACCTCTCTGTTTCCTCCTGACTGATTTCATCCTTTTCTCTCTAGATGACGATAAGCATGATATTCCGTAATTTTTACGTATTAAAATCAACGCACAAAGCCCAAGCATTTGCACTTCAACCATTGGAACCATCGGAACCCTCATTTGAAAGAAGCCTTGAACTTGTCCTTGACTGTATAAAGCTTGTATCTGGCCACCCTCCTCTTCCTCTTCTTCCCTGGGTCATTCCACCACAATGGTTTTATCGACTTCTAAAACATAAGAAACAGGCAAAGGCCAGAGTCCATTTCGACTTACAACATCAGGTTTGTCTATTCCCATCCCAAAGGCAATGGTAGCACATACAATCTGGACCTCTGCAGTATGCCATTTCTTTTGAACAGCTACTCTTTGACGGGCTACTAATCCAGCATGATAGCACACCATCTTTATACGGCACTTCTCATTCAAGTATTTTGTGACGTCAACACATTCACTCTTCGAAAGACAATATACTATGCCACAAAAATCAGCAAAACGATTCTGATTCTGAACTATCCTACATTGCTAGTCTTACATAATTGAAGGAGTGGGGGAGTTGGTCATAGAAGCTGACATGATGCATCAGCCAAGATCAAAATGTAGACCCAAATGACAATAAAAGGCATTGGTCATCTAGTAAGATTCTTCATCCTTGAACGGCCAGCATGAACGAATAGAGTAATACTTTTCTTGAAGCTCTATTTTTTAAGAATGATGTTTTCCACACCGGGTTTCTATTTGATTGGTTTTGGAAACTCCATATTTGCCTACATATATTGCTGTTGGTTACGTTATAGCAATGCATTTAATTTATCCTTCCATTGGCAGCTTTTGTAGACTGCAAACAGATTAGCAGCTTGTGAGGCAAGGATGAAAATATCAAACACAAGTAAACAAGAATTCCCTAGTGATTTACAGTTTCCCTCTCTGTAAACCCAGGATTTGAAATTTTCTTCTAGAGGCTGATGATCTTCTGTCACTCAATATTGTAAACTACACCCAAATTTTCCCTGTCCAAAATTCATATTTTCTTTGAAAAATCTTTGGCCATTTTGAGTTCCTTTGTGAGTTGCCTTGTGTCAAATTTGACTAATGACATATGTCCTGTTTGGGACAAACGCCATTCGGTTTTTCGTGATAAATGAAAACCCTATCAAGTTTCTTAATGTTCCCTTTATGTTCCTCTTGAGCCTTCTAAGAAGGGCTTCAATTCCCAGTAAGTATGATGAACTGAGCTAAAATAAAATATAAGGTTCAAGTGTTTCTGGTTGGTGATAAAAAAAAATGTTAAAGCAGTTTTGGCTAGTCTGTCATATATGAATGTACACCCCCTTAACATTACTAGTAGTCAAACTGTTGTTTTGAAATATTATCAAGGAAGGTAAACTGGTGCTGCTGCTTCTGTGACAGGTTTGGTTGGTCTATGTAATGATCAAGACTTACTTTGGGACTTCAATTCAATCAGCTGTATTGATGATCTTTTGCATAATTGGACAATTTTTTGCCCATCTGTGAAACAAGCTAGGGCAAGGAGCTCAAGAATTTGGTAATTAGTTTACATCCCATTTGATCCTATTGTTGTCATGAAATTGCTTATCACATGACTGATTTGGGTGTGACTCACTTGGGTGAGAAACTTCAAATTCCAGACTTGTGACCGATCAAAATGAAGAAAAGGGATTTTGCAGAGGAAGCATCAACAACAGCTGAGGACCATCTTGCGTGCCAGCAGTGAGACAAGTCATGTATTTTTAACATAGGTAAATAAGCAGTAAATTATCATTTTTCTTCTAATATTCATGTCCTACTTTTCATCACCATCTTCTTTTGACAAGATGGTTTTCCATGACAGGGTACTGCACTTTCCTGAATTGCTAGTCTTACATAATTGAGGGAGCGGGGTGGTTGGTTGTAGAAGCTAACATGATGCTTCAGCCAAGATCAAAATGTAGACCCAAATGTCAATAGAAGGCATTAGTCATCTAGTGAGATTCTTCATCCTTGAACAATCATCGTGAGTAAATAGAGTAATACTTTTCTTGAAGCTCTCTTTTTTAAGAATGATTTGCTCCACACTGGGTATCTATTTGATTGATTTTGGGGACAAACACCTTTCAATTTTCTGTGATGAACAAAAACCCTGTCAAGTTTCTTATTGTTCCCTTGATGTTCCCCTTAAACCTTCTAAGAAGGACATCAATTCTCAGTAACTATGAGGAGCCAAGGTAAAATAAAATTCAAGGTTCAAGTGTTTCAGGTTGGTGATAAAAAAAAATGCAAAATTAGTTTTGGCAAGTCTATCATATATGGTTTTAGACCACCTTAACATTATCAGAAGGGAAAATTTCAATTAAGGGGTCCTTTTCTCAAAAGAGGACCCAAAGTGAACAAGGTGTCAAATAAGGACTTAAAGTGCCCAATCAGTCCCAAATAGGGGCCCAAAGTGCTCAATTCGTCTTAGGCAAGGGCTTGGGTTCACCGGCTGGCGAGCACAGTTACTGTTCCGGCGACCAGAACAGTACATTTCATCTTTTTTTTTTTTTCCTTTTTCTGTTTTTTTTTCTTCTCTTCCCTCCGCCGGCCATAGCCGGGGCCGGCGGAGGTCACCGGCCTCAGGTAAGACCGCCCTCGCCGGCGTCGACCGAGGGCCGCCCTCGCCGGCGTCGGGCGAGGCCGTCCTCGCCGGCGGCCGGGCGAGGCCGCCTCGCCGGCGCGCGGCGAGGCCGCTCGCTCGGGCCGGGCGAGGTCGGCCTCGCGCGGCTTGCCGGCGAGGTCGAGCCTCGCCGCATTTGGCGAGGGCTTGGCTCCGCCGGGCCGCTAGCGAGGCTCGACCTCGCCGGCGTCGGGCGAGGCCGGTCTCCCGCAACGGCAAGGCCGGCCTCGCCCGAAGAACGGCGAGGTCGAGCCTCGCTGGGTTCTAGCGAGGGCTCGGCCTCGCTCGTAACGGCAGAGCCGGCCTCGCCCGACCCCGGCAAGGTCGAGCCTCGCCAGATCTGGCGAGGGCTCGACCTCGTCGGCGTCGGGCGAGGCCAGTCTAGCCCGACGCCGGCGAGGGCGGCCTCGCCGGCGACCTCCGCCGGCCCTGGTTATGGCCGGCGGAGGAAGAGAAGAAAAAAAAAAGAAAAGGAAAAGGAAAAGAAAAAAAAAACAGAAAGGAAAAAATAATAAAAAATTACTGTTCCGGGCCGGAATAGTAACGTTCTCGCCGGCCGGCGGGTATTTTGGCAGGCCGGCGACCCAGGCCCTTATTTGAAACTTTTTGGACACTTTGGGCCCCTATTTGGGACTGATTGGGCACTTTAGGCCCTTATTTGACACTTTGTTCACTTTGGGTCCTCTTTTGAGAAAAGGACCCCACTTGGGGTCCTTAATTGAAATTTTCCCTTATCAGTAGTCACAATGTTGTTTTGAAAGATTATCAAGCAAGGTCAACTATTGCTACTTTCATGACAGGTTTGGCTGGTCTTATGTGATGATCGAGACTTACTTTGGGACTTCAATTCAATAAGCTGTATTGATGACCTTTTGCCTAATTGAACAAATTTTTTGCCCTTCCGTGAAACAAGGTAGGATGAGGAGATCAAGAATTTGCTAATCAGTTTACATCCCATTTGATCCTATAGTTGTCATGGAGTTGTTTTGTCACATGACTGATTTGGGTGTGGCTAACTTGGATGAGGAACTTCAACTTTCATACCTTAGACCAATCAAAATGAAGAAAAGGGATTTTTGCAGAGGAAGCATGAGCAACAAACCGAGGACCATCTTGCGTGCTAACTTTGAAGAGGCTCGTGAGCTAACCTGGAGTGTCCTAAGGAAGTTTTGATGCTTGTGAAGATCGAAAACACTTGATCTGGTCTTAACAGCACATACCTGAACGATAGTAAATGTAGTATTTAAAATTGAATCTGCTTTCTGTATGCCCATTATGTTCTACCTCTGTCAATCAATTACATAGCCGCTGATATTTTTGTATGTTACGCTGATGCAGGGTTGTTTGATGCGGTTACATTAGAATGATATCACTCCTCAACTCGATGAGGCTCTGCAGAGGGAGGTATGCACTAACAGGATCCTCCATTTCTATCATTTATTTGTGTGACAATATCATTTGCATGTCGTCATATAGGTTTTTGATTTGATAAGCTCAGCCTCATGTATGCGGCATTGAATTCGTAAAGTTGAAATTGACCTCACAAATTATCCCGTATTGCTGATTTTGCTGATTAGATATTGCCAATAACCAAGTAACAAATACACCTTTCTGTTCTGTAGTTTAGGCACTTCACCTTTTCAAGATAATATTATTAACATCAATTCTGCTCCTAAACACAAACAAGGAAAGTATTGCTAATTGCTTACTTCTCCCAAGTCAGTTGTCTTCTTTTTCATTGACCAGCTAATGAAGTCTCTGTTCAATGTGTTCCTACTGTGATTGGCGTAAATGATGTTTAGGCATTTGTACCTTATCTTTTAGGGGGTAAATTTTGATGCTATGATGTCGGTTTTTTTCATTTACTGATAATTAGTCAGTGCCATTCTTCTTGTGTAGTTCAAGCTGCATTTCATGAAACTCAGAGATAGTCCCCAAACACCACGGGATGGAGATACAGGCAGGAATGAGCTATGTCATTATGGAAAGGCATTCCGAAGTTCCTTGCTATTGGCTTTTATCATGTGCACCGTGTTGTTAATACTCTTCAAATGATTCTTGATATAAAGCGACCTCTTCTCATGTGGTGTTTTAGTCCTTTGCAAGCTTTGGCATGGTGCCAATCTTCAGCAATAGCCAAATCACAACTCGCTTGCATGAAGACCGCATGTGCAGGTGGTTCTATATGTGTAAGTTAAGCATAAGTCATATTTCCTCAACAGAGGTAAATAAGCAGCGAACAATCATTTTTCTTCTGAGATTCATGACTTACTTTTCATCACTATCTTCTTTCAACAAGAAGGTTTTCCATGACAGGGTCCTGTACTTTCCTAAATTGCTAGTCTTACGTAGTTGAAGGAGTGGGGGAGTTGGTCATAGAAGCTGACATGATGGTTCAGCCAAGATCAAAATGTAGACCCGAATGTCAATAGAAGGCTTTGGTCATTTAGTAAGATTCTTCATTCTTGAACAGCCAGCATGAGCGGAAAGAGTAACACTTTTCTCGCAGCTCTATTTTTCAAGAATGATTTGCCCCACACCAAGTATCTATTTGATTGATTTTGGAAACTCCAGATTTACCTACATATATTGTTGTTGGATACGTAATAGCAATGGTTTTCATTTATCCTTCTATTGGCGTTTTTGCATCGCAAAACAGATTAGCGGCTTGTAAGGCAAGGATTAAATATGTAACATAGGTAAACAAGAATACCCTAGTTATTTGCAGTTTACCCCTCGGTAAACCCAGGATTTGAAATTTTCACCTAGAGGCCGATGATCTTCTGCTACTCAATATTGTAAACTGCGCCCAGAATTTCCCTGTCCAAATTAAAAAAATCCTTGGCCATTTTGAGTTCCTTTGTGAGTTGTCTTGTGTAAATTTAACTAATGACATGTCCTGTTTGGGACAAACGCCTTTCAGTTTTTTTGTGATGAACGAAAGCCCTGTCCAGTTTCTTAATGTTCCCTTGATGTTCCTCTTGAATTTTCTAAGAAGAGCATCAATTCCCAGTAAGTACAATGAACTGAGCTAAACTAAAATGTAAGGTTCAAGCATTTCTAGTTGGTGATATAAAAAAAATGTTAAAAGTAGTATTGGCTAATCTGTCATATATGAATGTACACCCCTTAACATTACCTGCAGTCAAACTGTTGTTTTGAAATATTATCAAGCAAGGTAAACTGGTGCTACGTCTATGACAGGTTTGGAAAAGTGAAAAGAGCCCTTCCCAAAATTTATACTCATTTGGTTCGAGCAAAAACCCTTGAAGGTATATCTAATTGGTTAATAATCAAACTCTACCACATCAAATTGTGGTCACCAATCATGCATTCAAGTTTCAATGGAAGCAATTTCTTGGATGCCACTCTCAGATATTCTTGTACCATGTACTCGATTATAATGGTGGATTTTTGTTAGTTAAAAGCTACTCGCGAGGTACCCATAGTCTGATTCGCTTGTTGTCCACTCAAACTTGGACTCAATTTTTACATAGCACAAAACAAGGCCAAGTAGCTTGTTAAGCCAATTTCGAATCTATAAGTACTAAATCATATATAATGCGGGTTGTGTTAAAATACTTGTTAAATGTACTTAACATGAAATAATTTAATTTTCAGAATATTGATTAAGCGTAACACAAGAAAAGTTGCAAGTAAAGTCTATATATTGACTGTGTAGATTATATATTTAGTTGCTTAATCAAAGGGCAATGGCCTTGTGTTTGACTACTCGTGGAACATATCACAACCATATCAACATAATTGATTTTAAGCTGGAAAATTGTGAATCCATCGGATAATTGGACGAATGAGTCGAAGCAATTGAACCAATTAGGTTCTCTTCATGGGTTTTTCGCCTTTTTTCTTCTACTTCAATTTCATGCTAGCAATTTGCTTTGAGCATGTTTTTGAAGTTCTATCACATTTTATGTCAAGATCCTTTAACAGCCATACAAACAACAACTACGTAAGTTTCGAAAGGACAGAAGAGGTTTCACTTTATTTTTTTGGATTTCCTCAATTTTGTAATTCTGAGCTTGACGGGACGGTATTAGAAATATGAAAACTGTCCACGAATCACATTGTAACTACGCAAAGCCTTTCGGTTTACTTGTCACCGGCACATGGCAGTTTAGACTATAGCTCTTTGGGCAGTATACATTGCCATATGATGAATCGTACGAGGAGAAATCGATATAGATGAATTGAGGAAATTAGGGGTTTAAAGAAGCCCAGAAATAAGGCGTAAACAACATTTGGCCAAAACAAAGTCCTAAACAACGAAATCAACCCTGAAATAGATCAAAACGTGTCACGCCCCGGACCCCAACGGCTCGCGACACCCCTTCAACGGTCATATTGAACGCGACGTCCCAGGACGTGTCGCCGACCCAAACGAAACACCCAACGATAGAGGCAAGCGGAAGCGAATTTAAAACAATCCAGACAATAAAATATGACAAAGGGATAGCACAAAATAATAATTCCAAATACACAACATCAAAAGGGAATAGTGGTGGGGTATCCTACTTCGCTATACAAAAGAGGGGCACACAAAATATGGGGTAACTTGACCCGTCCTCCATCCCCGAGATACCCTGGTGGCGTCTCCAATCAATCACGGTCGCAGATCTGAAAATGGTTATATAATAACCGTGAGAACAAATCTCAATAAGCAACCCCCTATACCCCACATAGGCCAATGCGTACCCAGACAAGTTGTAACATGCAATCTAACCAATAACTTATATATAATTCACATCAATGGACTTACCTCGCCATCCAATCACATGCCCACACTGTACATTAGTCAAATCACATTAGTGCATCCAGCAGAGCTCATATTCAGATCACACAAGGAAATTTCCCATGCATCATACAATAACACTCGCGCGTGTCTCGATTATAAGGTAAAACCACTTGGGCACGTCCCATACCATGCCTAGCAGTATTCACCTCATAATCAAACACTATGCAACATGCGTGGTCCAGCCAACTTTCTCACGACCTCCCAGGTCCTTTCACACTGCCCGCGCCACTGCGCCTCAGGCCCATTCTCACGACCCGCGCTACTGCGTCTCAGGTCAGCCCTCAGATCAAGCCGGGCTCCGTCCCTCACCGGACATTTCACACTTTCCCACGACCCGCGCCATCGCGCGCTCGGGTCAGCCTCGAGATCAAGTTTCGGGCTCCGTCCCTCATCGGACATTTCACACTTTCCCACGACCCGCGCTACTGCGCCTCAGGTCAGCCCTCAGATCAAGCCGGGCTCCGTCCCTCACTGGACATTTCACACTTTCCCACGACCCGCGCTACTGCGCCTCAGGTCAGCCCTTAGATCAAGTCGGGCTCCGTCTCGCGTAACCACGCCTCAGGACATTTTTCCCTTTCCAATGACCCGCGTAACCTACGCCTCAGGTCTAACTCACCTTTCACAGCCCGCGTAAACACGCCTCAGGCTCAGCCCTCCGATCGATCCGGGCTTTTCTCATGCACATGCACCACAACACAAAATTCACCTTGCTCTTAGTCATATAAATCAATTTCAATCACCACCCTTTCACCAATGACAATCTAGCACGCCACATCAGTAAACTCAATTCATGCTCCCCACATCGGTCCACCGACCCGACATTCAAGTCAACACATTCAATAAATTCCAATTCACCCACAAGCGCCACGACAATTCAGTCATGCTATTTACCTCAGTCAATCACTAAATTAGCCACACAATTATCACCACAATAATTCATCAATTGGGCACACTCAATCTAATTAGCCCATGCCTAAATTAATTCCTAACCCGGTACTAATCACATCCTAAACAAGTCTAAAAATACCCAAAGTACTAGGTAGGGTTTAGGAAGTCACTTACTAGGTTTTGGCCCGGGCAAAGTCGGCTCGGCCCAAAATGGCCCGGGTGAACAGTGCCGAACTAGGCACGGGCGCAGGCCAACGGGCGCGTTGGCCGACCAAAGTGGGCACAATGGCCGATCGGCGTGCCTGGCGCGCGGGCGCGGCGGACGTGCGGCGTGCCCGGGCGCACGAGCGAGCGGATGGGCGACGCGCCCGGGCGACGGGCCGGGCTGAATCGGGCAACGCGCCTGGGCGACGGCACGGGCGCGGCAACGGGCACGGGCGCGGCACGGCGACGGGCGTGCGGCTTGGTCGCGTGGGCGACGAGCCGGCCACGGCCTGGGCTGGCTGGCCGGGCAGCGAACGGTGGCGGCGGCGCGTGGCGGTGACGACGACGACGACGCCAGCGGGACGCGGCGACGGCGAGCTGGACAGGGAGAAAAAGAGTGAACCGGGGCCGAGGGTGAGGGAGAGAGAGGGATCGATGCCGAGTGGGAGAGATGGCGGACCCGGCGGCGACGAGGCAAAGCACGGCGGCGAGTTGGACGGCGGAGCGGGCCGGATAGCGGCGGCAACGGGACCGCCGGCCCGCGGCGGTCGTGGGGCGAGCTCACGGCTCGTGCGAACACGGGGGAGGGGATAGGACAGCCGGTCGGGGGCGATGGCTGACGGACGGCGCGGCGCGGCGGTCGAGCTGGCCGGTGACGGCACGGCACGCGGCGACGAGCGAGACGGCATCGGGCGGAGCGGAGTCCGCACGCGGCTGCGTCGGGGAGGAAGAAAACCGGCGTAAAAAGAAAGGAAGAAGAAAGAGAAGAAGAAGGAAGAAGAAGAGAGAGAGGAGAGAGGGTGTCAAAGGAGGGGGGGAAGAATGGGCATGAGTGACATTGCAGGGGGGTTGCGTGCGGTCAGAGAGGAGAGAAGAGAAAGGAGAGAGAGAGAGAGAGAGAGAGAGAGAGAGAGAGAGAGAGAGAGAGAGAACGTGCGCGGTCAGAAGGGGGAGCGTGCGCGCGGAGGAGAGAGGAGAGAGGAGAGAGAAAAAAAAAATTTAACTTCAATCAAATATTAAATGCGATCCGATGACCCAAATTCAAAATCGAAAGAGATCTACCGGTCCAAAATATGCCTCGCATATAAAAATGGACAAAGGCCGAATTAATTAAATCAAACTATAGCGAGGGAGGTCTACTAGTCCAAATTCGCACCCGGTCAAAAACTCCCATTTTTCCATTATTCCCGACAATCTCAACGCCGGCTACGATAATATTGACACCGTCCAATTTATTTCGTCCCGAAACTCCCAAAATCGATCGCAAGTTCGGGGTCTAAATAACGGCCAGATTTGATCGAGTGCGATTCTAGCGAAATCTCTAATTTAAAATGATAATCGGGAGTGATC